CTTGTTTCAAGAAGATACAATTTCTTCTTCATTAATAGAACCAAGCAATCGCCCTTGAAAAATGGTTTCATGATATACTCGTTTCAAAGCAGCCAATTTATTTTGCTCACAATTTTGCATTACCAGGCAGTTGTCGCTTAGTGTCTCTCATGTGCTGCAGTCAGAAGTCAGCTAGGGTTACAGACGTATAAGGCTCTCTGCCTGGGTGCTTGGTTGCAGTTGATGCTAACTGTCAGATGGAAGCCCAACTATGGTCATTGACCTGGGCACCTATAAGAGGTTTCTGCAGCACAGAGGTCTTAAGATGGTCATACTTCTTACAGAGTTACTGGTTTCCCCCAGAGGCAGTATCTCAAGAGAACCAGGCAGAAGCTGCAAGCCTTTCACCACCCAGCTCAGAAGTAACAGAGCAGCCGTTCTGCATGCTCTACTGGCTGAAGCAGCCTCAAACCTGCTCAGATTCCAGAGGAAGGGATGCAGAGCCACCTCACTATGGATACAATGGCAAAGCCACACTACAGGAGAGCTCATGGACAGAGACCAGTGCTGAAGTCATCTGTGGACACTTCAGTCCATCTCCTTAGGGCTGTTGAAATCGGGATATTTTGTGTATGGCATTTTGCCAAAGACTTTAAATGAGAAAACCCTTCTTTGCGGTCAGTAGATTCCTCCTTCATAGAATGTCAGGAAATGGTTGTTTTGTACTGGAAAATTAAATAATCAGATCCACTGTTAAGGTTTGTTTCAGGTAAATTAGCTATTTTACTTGCTGTGGGAACAAAGATCATGTGCTTTCAGAAGACCCTAAGTAGTAAGTGTGTAACTTTCCCAGTCACCTATATCCAAATGAATAATTTTGAAATTTCCTGCAAATTAATTAAGGGGAACTATGAACATCTCCAAATGAAATCATGCTACAAGAATTGTACAACAAAAAGATGGAGACAGCCTAAGTGCCCATCAATGGAAGAATGGATAACAAACTTTGGTACATACACACAATGGAATCTTATACTACCTTGAAGAATAACAAGGAAGTTGCAAGCCACCGCATAGCATGGACATTATGAACCTTGAGGACATTATGCTGAGTGAAATTAGTCAGTCACAAAAGGACAAATATTGCATAAGACCATTATTGTAAAAGCTTAAGAAAAGATACCCATACTAAAATTAAAAGAAAAAGAATTGTACAACAATTTAATCCAAGCTTAATTACTTACAGCAAGAATTGGCAATTTCTAAAATGCTTCTTAACATAATTGCTACAGTAAAGCTTAAGTGATAAAAGCCCCACTGTGAACTTACCTGGCCTCACGAATATGTAACTGAGGGTAATGACTATGCCTGTGACATATGTACACAGCGAAGTCCTCATCAAATGTCAGGCACGGGACATTCCCCACTTGGTTAAAAACAGTTACTAGAGTTGAACCTAAGTCACAGAGATCAAGAAAAGTGGTCTCATTTTAACAAGGAATAACTTTAGAATTTCATAACAAAATTCAGCTTACATTTAATATTGTGCCTTATTTGTTAGGATCAAATATGCACATAATACACTGAGGCCCTTGCAACCATTTCTATGACTTATTTCAAAAAGCCTAGCTTTAAGCATGACTGTTCTGTATTAACTACTGGAGATGTGAAGTAGTTGAGTAGGCTTTACCTAAGCTCATGTAGGACGGTACTATGAGGAATATGAAGTGGAGTTCCAGCACTGCCTTAAACACGGTCCTAGTGAGGGAAAGATAAAATGTGTAAGTATCAATACCAAAATGTGAATAATAATAGTAGTAATCTGATTGAAACTGATGCTGTCTCTATAAAAGTGAGGTGCTCGCTCGTAACACACATGGGCTCCTTTGCTTCCTCCACACAAAAGCAATTTTTCTTGACTATTTCTTGTATTCCAAGCATCCCCTTTTCTCTCTGCTCCATGGTGGCGGATAGAATAGAATGCCACATTCAGTCAGCACACCAGATTTCTGCTAATATTAACCTTTGACCTGGCATCTGGATGGTCTGGGATGACATTCCAAAGTGACTTGAGAGTTGAGGTCACCACCCCAAATGTCTGTGTAGGCTGTCTGTGGCACACCATTGCACGGCAGTTCTGCAGATCATGTTTCGACACACCACATCATTCCAGATGCTTCTGCAGTCTGTTGTGGCAGCACACATTTTTAAAGATATGATTGCTGAAAGTTATTTTTTAAAATATCCACAGTTGTGATATAAAAAATGGTTTTGAAAAATAACCACACTGCCAACCTGTTTACTTTAAGTGACAGACAGAGGTGTGCAAGGGGCAGATCCCAGATTCAAAGAGATCGTTTATCTTTTTTCAGAAGTATCACTGTGATTCAAAGTAAAAGCTTTAATATGGCCAGATATTACAAGCAAATATCTCAGAGAATGTCATATAACTGAAAGTGCATTTCAAACAAGCCCACACTGTCTTACTGTTTATTTGGTATCACTTGGCATTACCAGGCAGTCACATAGACCCCACTGTGTGCAAGGCCCATCACTCACCTAATAACCTCTTTGCAGCAACCAGTGGAATACTCATCCACAGCCACAAAGAGGTGCATGAACAAAGTATTCAGCGGCTGCAGAGGAAAAGAGAACACAGATTACAAGGCTGCTTTGGCCCTTCTCTGGATCAGACCATGGTGGAAGAGGGGTAGGCCAATCACATACGTAGCCACTAGGCATTTGTGGCTGATAGTTTGTGTATAAATCCTGAGACACCCAGGCAGCATCCTTGTTGCTCTATCAATGTTGTCGCCTTCCATTGTCCTCACTCAGAATTATTCAAGGAAACAGGAACATTCAGTGAGTTTATGCATCCAGCCTTCATCCTGCCTTACCACCAGCTATGTGAAGGGAAGAAAAGGCAGGAGAGTGAAATCGATTATTTACTCAGTATTCCTGTCCTCAGGGGCAGCTATGCCAATGAAAGACAATCACCCTTCTCCTAGGCCCTCGAGGCAACAGCTGTTGCTCTATTCAAGGAACATGATGGAAAGATTCTCTTAGGAATTGGAGGGATAGAAGACAGATGCCACATTATGAATCCAATGGCTTGTTTTGTTCAACATTCCCAGAGTCAGAATTAAACATGACTCTTGGGATCCTAAAAAGCTGGAAGCCTGGAAACTCAAAGTAGCAAGATTCGAACAGGGCTTCCAAGTTAAATCTTCTCCATTTTTAGACAGCTTTATCCCATAGCTTTGGTAGATTTTTTTAAGTAGCCAAAATAATACACAACTGATCTATACACTCCCTGTTGTTGTTAAGTACCGCTGAGTCAATTCTGACCCAAAGCGACCCTGTATAGGGTTTCCAAGGAGCAGCTGGTGAGCTTGAACCACTGATGTTGCAGCTCAAACAACTTTGCAGTCTGACGCATTAGCCCATAGCACCACACCAGGATTCCACATATAGGTACACTCAATTCATGTGTGTACAGACAAACCTTCAAATTTTTGAAAATAACATAAATACGAAGTGGTGGGCTAGTCAGGGTGACGAGCACCTTCGCCAGGACAATGAGAATGTTATCGGTGCGTCTTGTTTTCAGGGACACTTTCTAGATAACCTACGTTACTGACTACGCATCCACGTGCCTGAGTCTCGGCTTCTGTGATGGTTTGTGCCTTAGTGTAAGGAGCTGCTGTTATTGTTGTTAGTTGCAGCTGAACCACTTCTGACACAGCGCGATCCCAGGTATCCTGGACTTAAAAATAGGAAGGGAAGAATCACGAGCTTCATTTAAGAGTATGAAAGCTCCCAAAAAGCAAATAACACAAGGAAACCCCCAAAGTCCAAATAACACCAGCCACAACAGCAACAATGGCACAATTCAAAGCACATTCTACATATTAATTCATTTAACCCCACAACAAGCTTAGTCAACATCTGCTTTACATTCTTCTGAACAGTACTAGTATATATTTTCTACTTGAATCACATCTCATTCAGACTAGCACAGCTCTGTAACATAGTGGGAAGTAGTTTTAAAATAAAAACAATCTTAACAAAACAAGAAAAAGAACTAAAAGGAAAATAGTTCATGAATAATGATATCATTTATAATTTCAAAGGTAAAATCATGACTCTCATGCAAATAGAAAATTAATGCATGTGAGAGATTTTCATCTCGTCAGTCAGTGAGGTACATGGAGGAGCACCTTACAGGCAATTTAATTAAAGAATATTAGAAAGAGATAGCTGGGTTAGATGCAAAACTGATGACTGTCCTGTTGGGCTATACACCAATTACCTTTAAAGTTAACTTTTCTACCAGACAGAAAGTATGTGTATTTGTATCTCAACTGGACAAATATTTGTAAGTTCATCCCTAGGAAGTGGCAATACAGTGCAGCAAGAAAAAGTCAACCATAGGGGCAAGCACTAGAGGAAAAGAACAAAGGTATTCTTTTTTGCGTATTTCCAATGTTGGAATCATTTTCTGACAATGATACCTACAGTACAAGGGAAATGGGGGTGCAGTACAGGCAGAAGGGGGTGAGGTGAGGAGAAAAAGCAGCACAGATAATACTATCTAGCTGAATGAATACTGTCTGATTTGTTGGGATGTGTGTGTACTTGTGCTCAAATCCACTCATGCACTCAATTAGCATTCTCTCTGTAGCTGAGGCCAGGGCTCTGGGAATATGTGTTGGATTTTCCCTGAAAGGTGGAGCCTCTGGCTCTCTACAGAAATGGGGACCCAATGTTGGCCTGCTCTAGCAGGGAGTGCTTGGAGTTAACAATTAAGACTGTGCACGGCTTCCCCCTCACCCTTACCCCCCCACTCCCAAGGCACCACTGACCTTGTTGTTGCTGTTGTTAGATGCCCTCAAGTCTTTCAAACTCAGCGCCCTATGATGTTGTTGCTTTTCTTGTTAGTCACCATCAAGTTGGTACCAACTCAAAGCAACCTCATGCACAACAGGACAAAACACTGCTTGATCTTGGGCCAACCTCACAGTTGTTGCCACACTTGAACCCACTGATGCTGCCACTTTGCCAATCCATCTCGTTGGGAGTCTTCCTCTTTTTCTGTGACCAACCACCTTACCAAACATGATATCCTTCTCCAGCAAATGGTATGTACAACAGCTAGTATGTATGTAGCGCCATATGTACAATAGAACAAAACACTGCCATCGTCACAATTGTTGTTAACTCATTTAGTACTGGCTACTAATACTAACACTGTGCCAATACATATCCTTAGGAATCTTCCTCTTTTTGCCGACCCTCCACTTTACCAAGCATGATGTCCTTCTCCAAGGACTGGTCCCTCCTGATAACATGTCTGAATTATGAGACAGAAAATCTCGCCATCCTGGCTTCCGGGGATCATTCTGGCTGTACTTCTACCAGCACAGATTTGTTTCGTCTTCTGACAGTCCATGCTGCTTTCAATATTCTTCAACACTACAATTCAAACGCATCAATTCTTCTACAGTCCTTCCCATTCACTGTCCAACTTTCACGTGTAGATGACACGATTGAAAATACCATTGCTTGTAAGGGGCACTTTAGTCCTCAAACTGATATTTTTGCTCTTGAACACTTTAAAGAAGTCTTGTGCAGCCGATTTGCTTAATGCAGTAAGTTGTTTGATTTCTTGACTGGTGCTTCCATGAGTATTGATTATGGATCCAAACAGAATAAAGTCTTTGACAACTTCAATTTTTCCCCATTGATCATGATGTTATTTATGGTCAACTTGTGAGGATCTTTGTTCTTTTTACACTGAGGTGCAATCCAAACTGAAGGCTGTGGCCTCTGATCTTTATCAGTAAGTATTTCAAGTCTTCTTCACTTTCAACAAGCAAATTTGTTAACATGTCTTCCTCCAATTCTGATGCCATGTTCTTCTTCATATAATCCAGATTCTCAGATAATTTTCTCAGCATACAGACTGAGTAAGTAGGGTAAAAGACCACAGTCATGGCACATGCCTTTCCTGAATTTTAAACATTCAGTGTTCCTTTGTTCTGTTCTTGGCCTATGTACAGCTTTTTCATGAGAACAATCAAGTGTTCTGGATTACCCATTCTTTGAAATGTTATCCATAGCTTGTCATGATCCACACAGTGAAAAACCTTTGAACGGTTAATAAAGCACAAGAAAACATCTTCCTGGTATTCTCTGCTTTCTGACATCAGCAATAACTTCCTCATTTCATGTCCTCTTCTGAATCCAGCTTGAGTTTCTGGCAGTTCCTTGTCAATGTACTGTTGTATTTTTAACTATCTTTAGCAAAATCTTATTGCATATGATATTGTTCAATGATTTCCATATTCCACTGGGCCACCTCTCTTGAGAATGGGCACAAATGGATCTCTTCCAGTTGGTTGGTAGAGTAGCTGTTGTCCAAATTCCCTGGTATAGATGAGTGAGCGGCTTCAATGCTGCATCAGTTTGTTGAAAGATTTCAACGTGTATTACATAAATTCCTGGATCCCTGTTTTTATGTATTACATAAATTCCTGGATCCCTGTTTTTATGTATTACATAAATTCCTGGATCCCTGTT